TTTTTTTTTTTTGCCAAGCAGGCACTACGCCACTGAGCTAAACCTCCAGTCCAGGATATTTTTCTGATGTAAATAAGGCAGTATGCACCTACCTTCTGTAGCACATTTTTTTTCTTTTGAAAATCTGATGCTAGAGAATGTTTTCAATTTCCCAATTTGACTAGGTTCACATGAAACTCTTAGGAATTATAAACTTGTTCAGAATCTAGCATAATAGTGAACGTTTCAGAAATACTCAGTTAAAAGGAATGGACATGGACTTCTCATTTCTGATGAGGCTGTGACATCTGGAAATATTACCACTTCCCCCCTTACAATAAGAAACTGAATAATCTAAAAATTTTCAATTTTCTTTAATGTAGGGAGAAAGATCAAAGCAACCAACTAGTATCAAACTGAAGAAAAACATGTTCCTGCAAAGAGGGATGGATGGCTCATCTGTGGCACAGGGGAAAGATAAATTCACCGAAGAAGCAGGTATAAAGAATGCAACTATTTTTAACAAATCGCTAAGATCCAAAATGTGGGACTGCATGAGAGTACCTAAATCTTGATAGCCAGAAATGGGGCAATTTACACACACACACACACACAGAGAGAGAGAGAGAGAGAGAGAGAGAGAGAGAGAGAGAGAGAGAGAGAGAGAGAGAAAGAGAGAGAGGCTTTTCTGGATGGATTTATGACTCAGGCCTAATGAAGAGAAACCACCACAGTGGAAAAGAAATGAAACTCGGTCTGGTTCTTTACCTGTAAGGAGTATAGGTCTTCTAGAGAAAAAAGTAGTAAATCCTATTCCCTCTGGGAGGATTTATTGCAGTGGGGTAAGGTTAAAAAAAAAATAACAATAAAGTCCCCGACTTCCAGGGGAAGGGTAATTATTAGTTCTGGAACAAAGCTATTAGACATTTGTCCTGCCACGAAGAGAAGCCCCACTCCTATGACCCAGTGGCATAGGTTCTATTAAGACTGAAGTTAAGAGATTAAGAAAAACAGAGAACTCCTCTTTACTGGGAACCAATAAGCTAAGGAGCAACAACAGTATACCCCTAGAAGGCCAGATATGGAGAGGTAAGATTTCTGAGGCACACACGGACATTGAAAGGCTCAAGTTGAGAATAAAGCATGAATACTGACAAAACTCCCAGGCACCAGATCCCCACTCTAAGCACAAGGAAATAGATTTAAAGATGGTACTAAACTGAGGGTAACCACCTCAACAAAATAACCTATTTTATCTCCTTTTAAATTGACTCAGCTTCCCACATTAACTAACAAGTTAGCCCATTTCATAACCATTTCAAGGGACAAACACTATTTCTTTCAATTTGAGCTATTTTGCATATTATATCTGGCATGCAAAATGATATTCTGAGATGCCTATAGAAAAAGGTAAAAAAGCCAAATTACAAAAGATAAAGCAATCAACATAAACAGCCTTGAAGATGATTTAGATGTTGAAATTACCAGATACAGAATTTAATGAAACTATGATACATGAAAGGCTTTAGTGAAAATATGAAAATCATACATGAACAAGTGCAAAATTTCAACAAGGTAGTAACTATAAATATTTCAAGTAGACATGCTAAAAATGAAAATAGTGATAGAGATAAAAAATGTCTTTGTTATTCACGTTATTCAGCTTTAAACAGCTAAGAAAGGAGTCAGTAAAAGTGAAAATGTGAAAAAAAGTGATATAAACTGAAACATGAAGAGGAAAGACAATGAGAATATACACACGAACTTCAAAATGGAGCACACACGGGCAGTGGGATAACATTAATAGTTGTCACACATGAACATGGATTTAAAAAAAAAAAGAGAGAACAAGGCAGAAGAAATACCTACAGAGATTTAAAAAGAAATTTAGAACTTCCATACAGCAATAATGTATGTTAAACTACATAACCAAGAATTTCTGACAACACAAAACATTTTTAATCCTTACCTCATATTATCGCTGACAAACATTCCATAAACACAGGCACAGACACTAACAATAACACAAAATTCTGTGAACGTTTCATGTTTAAACTTCTGAATAACAAAAATGAAGGAAAGAGTCGTAAAAATGGCTGGAGGAAAACTAAAATGAAACAAAGATAAGAATAACGGGAGACTTCAGACTATGTGACTACTATGTAAACTAGAAGACAATAGAGTCATATCTTTACAGTGCGGAAAGAAGAAAAAAACCTTGCAACCCACAATCCTACGCCCAGTGTAAAAAATGTTTCAAAAGTTAAGGGGAAATAGAAGTTTTTTTTTTGTTTGTTTTGTTTTTTTGTTTGTTTGTTTTTTTTGTTTTTTTTTTTGGTTTGTTTTTGCAAAGAGGGATTGAACTCACAACCTCACACTTGCCAGGCAGGTGCGTATGCCACTGAGCTAAACCTCCAGCCCTAATAGAATTTTTTTTACACTGTACTAGAATCCCTGAACTCTAGGAAATGTTAGAGGAAATTCTTTAGACTTTGATTCTTTATGCCAGATAGAAATGGGGATTTGTATAAAGAAATGAAAAATCCAGAAGTTAAGTTGAAGATTATTTTTAATTACACTAAAACATACTTGACTATCTAAATAAAAATGGTAGTAGAGAATAAAGGAAAAAGAGTAAGTATAGTAAGTATAAGGAAAATATAGTAGTATTGTAAGTTTACATCATATGTGTGAAAATATAACAATCATACTCATAGCACACTGAGACACTATGCAGTTAAAGTGGTGGAATGTATATTGAAATTTTTCACTGTTCAAACACACATAATTTAAGAAAGTAAATATTACTGTCTGTATAATACACCTCAATAAACCCTGATTTTTATTTACTTTTTTAGTCCATTTAAAATAAAATTTATGTTATTATCTGTTTGTTTTTTGTAAGAATATTTTTGGTGTGTGTCTTGTACTGAGGAACTACTTTGCAGATAACAATATGCAGTGTAGTGACTATTGTCACTCTCATCATTTGGTTACAAAAATTTCTTTAATTTTTCAATAAAGTAAAAAAGAAAACTTGGCTTTTAGAAAAGGAGATTTTCACGTTCAACTTGCCTTTTTACTCTCTTTATTGTTCTTCTTTTTGTTGCATCACTGTTCTGATAATCATTTGTTTTAAAATACATCTTGTGTTTTCTAATTCTCCCTTTGATTCTTACCTGAATTCTGAAGTTATTTCTACAATTTGATGTTGGAGACAACTCTATATTTTCAAGTCAGAAGAAACACACACTTCATGGATTAAAATACGTAAAGAGCTATGGAAATGCTTTTATTTTATTTTATTTTATTACCAGTATCAGGAATCGAACTTATGACCACGCACTTTCAAGGCAGGTGCTTATGCCGCTGAGCTAAATCCCCAGCCCCCATGGAAATATTAAAGTTGCCATACAGAAATGGAATCCCAGTCTATGAATAAGTTATATATATAATATATATATATATATATATATATATATATATATAAGCTGACAAAACTGACCAAGATCACACAATTTGTAACTAATCATTGAGTATGTGATGCAGTTATGATAGTATAAATGATATATTTTTGTTTCATTATATAATTGTCTGCAGCTATAGTTTTCTTTAATGGAACAACTCTCATCATAAAACTGGCACTTTTACAGTTCTCTATACTCACCAACCTTCTTTCTGCTTGTGGTATCTGACCACATGCTATTTCTGCTATGGAACTTCTATGCTATAGGTGATTTTCTGCAAGGTTTAAAAACAAGATGTGTGGGGCTGGGGATTTACCTCAGTGGCATATAAGCACCTGCCTTGCAAGTGCATGGTTGTGAGTTCTATCCCTGGTACTGATAAAAATATTTTTTAAAGTTAAAAAAAAGCAAGATGTGGTTTTTGTATACAGTGGAGTATTACTCATCTATAATGAAGGATATATATATATATATATATATATATATATATTACCATGATGTCTACAATAAAGATCAGCCATTTGGACAGTAATTTAGGTTTTGAGGAATAGGCCTAGGAAAGAGGACCACTGCATTTGTATCGAACTTACATAACGTACAGATTGAGAAAATGTCAATTTCCCATCAGAGAGTGGAGGAAGGTAGTTGTCCAAGTGGTAGGGCTACTAAAGCACCTCAACCCCAAGCCGGCCCTTAATACTACCCCCGTTTCCTACCTACATTGCATTAATATCATCCTCCACAACCACGTTTTTGCTTGGTTACCTCACATTTGTACTGTTGGCATTAGTTTAACTGCCACTTTCCAGGGAGCTTGAGATTAACACTGATCCTAATTGAAAACACCAAATTTATACTTTTATATAAGTTGGAATTGTCTTACACACTAGTATTGCAATTGACACTGTGTCATTTTGTGTGCATATGTAGTATCTGTGCTCCATTAAACTTTTATTGGTAAGACATATGTACACTTAAACACTTCTAGTCCATAAACCTTAGTATAGTAGTATAATTTCATTGTTTCATCCCAGACACTGTTTAAAAGGCCTGGCAAATATTTAGTGTTTAAATTCATTTTCATCAAATACATGCGAGATGTTTCTTGTTAGATTCTCCAGCAAACTTTGTCACACTCTTGAATGCATCTATATACAGTTTGATATAGAATATTATGAAAATTTTCCTTTTAATAACATTCCATTTAAAGTTCAATATGGGTAACTAGGATGTCAGGGATGTATACTATAAAACAGGTAATATTTTTACTTGGTCATATCTTACTTGAATTAGTTCCCTTTTCCAACAGTGTGACTTTAATTTTCTATCTATACCTTTCAAATATCATGTTGGTTTGGTTGCTTCACTATAGAATAACCAATCCATTCATTTTACTGTAATAAACAATGAGTTTTACACGTCACTGAGCTATCTTGATATCTCAAAGTGAATGCTATGTACTGACATTATTTACTTGCAGTGTGAGGATCAGGGTCTGATTTACAATTATTGATGCTATTACAAATAAAGAATGAATAATCTAGCTCCGCTTACCAAATAGATCCGTCCATAAGTACCAAGGCCAATGGTCTTATCTAGTGAGAATATTCCAGTTGGATCCTGCAAAATCATAAAACCAAATTTGTCAGTCTTTTCTGGTAAAAGTCTAATCTGCCTTGTTTCTTTAGAATTAACGTTGGAAGAACCTAAGTGTCATTTCCCAAAAGTATAGACATGCCAGAATTTCCTTGGATGTAGTATGATCATTTGTGAAAGATGAATAATGATATGGGCATTGGCTATTTGTTACCTAATCATAAATTTAAACTGCACGCAATTATGAAAGGTGAGTTATATTCATGACACATTTAGGAAGATAATTGGAATGGAAATAAGTTCATTTACTTGCTATTGAAGTAATCTCTTAACATCTATTTTTGATTGCTAATCAGGTAAAAATCTTAAAACACAAGTAAAGACTAAATATTGAATACAAAATCTATTTATATTACGTCAAATCTAAAAGAAATATCATCTCAGTACATGAACAATACAATATCATGGCATTAGAAGAGCATCATTTGAAAAACACTAGAGACTGTTGGTTTTGTATTTTTAAGCATTCATCTTTTCAACAGCTGAATGCCTTTTCATGACACAAATGATACAGTCTGAGACTGAAGTTTAAATACCTAAATTAAATACTGAAGTTTAATAAGAAACAAAGATAACACATTTATGGACAGCATCTGAAAATTTCCATATTCATCCACAAGCACTATTTCCTTACCTTTAAATATGGGTATCCTTTCCTTGTTTGCTACAAAACATGATTTCCTGAACTTTATCACTGTTGACATTTAGAGTAACAGTTCATTTTAGCAACAATTATATGAGGTATGAGGAGATGCCAAGTTATATGCAGACTGGTAAAACACTGAAAAATTTTTGGAAATTCATCTTAGTTATAGAAAATGTACGTTTAATCATTTCAAAAGACATTTTATCACTGAAAAATGTGAACTAAACAGATACTATATACTGAGTATGTTCAACATACTTCAAGAAATTATATGCTTAAAATGGCACAATATTCATGTAATCTAGCAAAAGTGTCATAGAAACATGACAGTTTGGGATTACTTCAGTCAACAAGAATTTCAACAATTACAGAATCAGGAAATTTAAATTTTAGCCCATATTTTCCATTAATTAACTATATAACTCTAGGGAAGTTGTTTACTTTCTCTGTAATTTAGTTTTCACATATATAAAATGAAGGTGCTGTGCTAGGTGATATCTCAGCTCTAAAATTCCATATTAAAAAATCAGATTCTATCATTCTACAGTCCAGATGTTTCCAGTGGATTGCTACAAACATTTTTAAAGTAGCAGCCCATACGCCTAGTTTCTCAAAAAAACCCGTCAAACAATGTCACAAAAGGTTCCATTGCCTCATAAAATGTGTATACATTTTAAAATCATCATTTTTAAGATTTGAGACGTAAAAATAGATTGTTGCAGTGACATTGATACTAAGCATATGACTTGTTATACTTCATTCCAAGATCTATGGGGAAAATCAGGCAATACAGGAGTTACTGAGCACAAGATTAAAAACTAACACATTTATTTGATGGATATTTTGAGAAACTTTAGACAAATCATTCTACAGAAACAGCCTCTGTTCTTATTCAAAAGAATCAAGCAGTAAGTGATGCCTACTGGAAAATGACTTTAAGTTACTGTTAAGGCTCTGAGTTTTAGCTGATAAATATACTTATATATGAAAATTACTGTGTTACATATGCAGCTTTTATTTCTTACTCTTCAGGCACAAGCTTAAATTTCTTTAATCCTGTTCCTAGTTTTTCAAAATATATAAATTTTATATTCAGCTTAGAAATCAGTTATCTAATTACTCAAAAGGGAAACCAAGGAATTTTCTGGAATAATAAATTGCTTGTGAAAATTATAAAGGCCTTATTTTATTTATAATTATCTTTTCTGCAAAATTTTCCCTATTAACATATAACCAAATCATCTTTAATTCTCATTTTATTAAATGTAAAAATTGTTTATTTTTAATAATTTCAAGTTTCTTGCACTACAAAGGCATTTTAACCTATGACTCATATTTTCTAACTATATTTTTCATTGGTTTGATATAATTTTTATTTTGCATTTCCATGCTATTATCTTTCTGGCTAAATGGTTGCCAAGCAGAAAAAGAAGAAGGAAGAATCTCTGCTAACTACTAAGTTAATGATACCCAATATTCATATTAGATTTTCCACTTTCAGAGCAAGTTTTTTCTGGGCTTCCAAAGAAGGAAGCATTAAAAAGCAACTCGGATTTTTATCACTATGAAATTAAAAAGTCCACATTAGAAGAATCACCATGTGAGGTGGTCCTCTATTCTGCCTTGTCACCCTAAGATAAGAAAATCAGATCATTGTAATATCAATATGAAAATTATCTGGACATTTGGTGTGCTTTGGCATCTCATTTGGATAAACACAGTGATAAGTGAAGTAGAATCTCAAAATTCTAAAGTGTTTTTTTCAAAATGAGGTATTACTAAATACTTGTTTTAAGACACATCTGAACCATAATGTTTGGATACATATATATATTTTTTATTTTGTCTTATGTCTATGTAAGTATAAGTTATATTATGAATTTTAACACTAATATCTGGATGCTCCAAGAGTCCCTGAATTTTAGAAAGTTGTTTCTGACTTCTGAATTCAAAAGGAAAAGAAAAGAATGAGCACCTTATTAGAAACACTTTTCATAAGAGTGGGCTAAATAGAAGAAGAAAAAACCACTAGAAGGCACTGTTTACTGGTCAAGGGAGAAGCCTTTAAAGCTAATTCTGATCAACAAAACCAAATATGGCAGTGTTTAAGGAGAAAATTGAACCAGTAAGTGGTCAACATAAGTAACAAGAACTTTCAATTTTAGGAAAATAAACAAGGACAATGAATGATTATATACCAGTAGTCAGGCAATAAAAGGAAGGAAATTGCGCACTGCCAAGAAGATAGGAGAGGCTTTTCTTCTTTAATCTTTAAATTAGAAACAGTAATTTTATGAGAATGTTTTCTAGAGAGAGAACCTAAACATGGTGGAGAAAACAGGATACATGTAGAATATCATTCAGAACAGTAGGAGGAATGGGTCTCACAATTCAAGTGGACAGTTTAGAAAGAACTATCAGTGGGATCACCTGGGATCAGTGCTTCTCAAAGTATAGATTTTATAGACTCTCCCTCATTAGAAATATTGGGGGAACCCTGTTAAAAACACAGCTTCCTTTGGGCCTAAAATGGAATTATTATTCAGAATTTCCTGGGAGGAGTCCCTGACACCCCCTAGGTGATTCTTTTACATTGCTTTTGTGTGCTAATTTATAAAATACACTGCTCTAAAAACCAGAAAAATTATTTTTAAAAAATAGAGTGAAGTACAATGACAATCTGAGGTGATGCTCTATGTGTAATGGAAGATAGGCTGAATGTTTAAATTCTCATGGATTTAAAAATAAAAGTACTGGGGCTGGAGGTTTAGCTCAGCGGCATAAGCGCCTGCCTTGTAAGCAGGCAGTCGTGAGTTCGATCCCTGGTACCGATAAAAAGGAAAAAAAAAAAAAAAGACAAAAAAAATAAAATAAAATAAAAGTACTTCCCACCAAGAGCTGAGGCACTTGGTAAAGAGGGAATTTTCTTATGATTGAATGTGGAAAGCAGGTTGGGCCTGGGTGGTAGAAGTTCAAGAGAGCTGGCAGTTATATATAAATATATAGCAAATGTAATTCAAATATATATTTGGATCATGCACTATTTCAAATTACTGCCACTACTACCATTACCACTGCCACTAATGTCCTCTAGGACTGTCTAATCCTGACCCCAATATAGGATGGGACTACACATGACTGCCAAACACCAAGAGCACCACCATGAGGAATGTACATGCTGGGCATAGAAAGCAAAGGGACAATCATAGTGAAAGACTTGCCAGAGTTAGAGTTGAAGAAATACTTTCCAGTGTCAAGGATTGAGTGACACAGTCATGCTTGTGAAATATATATATATATATATATATATATATATATATATATAGAGAGAGAGAGAGAGAGAGAGAGAGAGATTGACAGACAGAAAGACAGAGAGACAGCGACAGATAGGGAAGGACAGAAAGAGGGAGGAGGAAATATACACCCCTGGATATTGCTGGTGGGTAAGGTTGAAAACTACACAAATATACATGCACACACTTATTTATTATAAAGATATGTATAAATAAATAAAGTTTTACAATGCTACATTTTAATTTTTGCTTTTTACCCATAGGAAATATTTATTCAATAGAAAATCTAGAAAAAAAATCACAGCCGCCCACTAATGAACAAGCATGATGGACTTGATCTATTATTTGTTTATAGTTATGTTTTCTTTCTTATCTCCTTATACATTATTGAAAAAATTATAATTATAAATAATTATACAAAATTAACTTTTACTTGTTAAATAATTTCCTTCTTTTTCCCTGCTTTCCCAATTTTCATTTTTGCATAATATTTTAGGTTTAGAAATATGATCTATCTAATAAAAATACCAGGTAACTTTCCACCACTTTAAAGTCCAATTTCCCCTAGCAAGCTTTTTTTTGTAGCAGAAATTTTTATCTTATGGTCATTTAGCTGATCAGCCTTACACAGCACATAATTTATCAATCTTAAGCCAGACTCATATTTAATTATACTGTGCTTCTCTACTCTGCAAGATTCTTTTTTGATCACTTTGAAAATCTAAGGTTTGAATTTCTCCCCATGATCTGGCTATTGATAAAAGTTTATACTGTACTTGGTACTGATAGATGCCAATATTCTGAACTTCACACATGCCCTATGGAGGGTCAGTATTGCAAGGGAACCATCACACGCAGATTTCTTTGCTGGTTCTGTCATCTTTCCTTTGTATCAAGTTAAATTCTAAGCAATTTAGATGTCTTTTTATCTCTTTGTTTATTTTTTCTACTCCAGAGACTTAGGAAATAAGTTGCATGTGAAGAAATTCCAGATCACTGAGATATACGTGAGTGTCCAAAATAACAGTAACTTTCATAACTCTAAAAATTAGACCTAAAGGAACTTTTAAAGCGCATGCTGCTCTTCTGCTAGACTTCTTAGGTTTTAGGTCTGGGTGTTTGGGGAGAGGGAAGAATTGTGCATAATTTGATCAGATGGTGAAAACAAATGGCTCCTGTATAAAATTTAGAAATTTAGGTATTTTTAGATGCTGAGAACCTTATGAAACTTTCAAGTTGGTAAAATAAAGCTTAGGATCAATACCTAAAGTTCTGTGTCTTTCTTCACTTCCATTACATCACAAACCAACTTCATCCTTTCCCACACATTTTCATTCCCATACAACCTCCAGAAAATTAATATTCCACTGATTTGCAATGTAAAGTTTGCAGTCTTTTTGCATTATCTCCTGGGCTTTCACAAATTTTTTTGTGTCCCAGAAACCTGACTGCCTAGGCCATTTTGCCCTGTTCTGTGGGTAAATAAAATTTTTATTTCTATTCTTGGATTTAGGATTTCTTGTCCTAGAGATCTTTTCATTCCCATCTTTAGTCATTTTTAGAAATTTTTTTTTCAGTTTGTCTCTGTGCGGATTCACATCTCTGCCTTACTTTGCTTTTTCCTCTCCCTCCACTATACACTGAAAATCCTGAAGACGGGAAATGTTTTATTCTTTGATTTTACACACTTACTTGACAATCAGTCTGTCTGAATATGAGAATTTTGTTTAAGAGATGATTCACCAACCGAGACTTCCATGTTCCAGAAATCTCATGTATGCACACAGGAAGCCAGGGATTTCAGGTACACGCAGGGTGGGAACAGACCATTAATAAGAGCTGTCATTTTATTTTATGAAACCACATCAGTGATCACAATTCTAATATTTGTAAACTCAATTTTTAAATGAAATTTGTTTTTTTAATGAATGAGAAACATTTGCTAAAATCTTACGCATGTACGTCACCACATACACCATTCTGGTGTAAAATCATACAAGGAAGCTTTGAGAATTCCCGTTTTTGGAGGAGGAAGGTGTCTGTCACCATCAAGAATACAATTTTTAAATTCTAAATAAGTGGAAAAGTCAAGAAAGGCGACTTTGAATAGCCCTATAGCTTCACCATTAATATTTAGCTTTTTGCAAAGCCACCAGGCCACTGCCCTGAATTATAAATGCCTGCAGATCACTCCAGCAGGGCGCCTGCTTATTTCTCTTTTGGAGAGTCAAGGGCTTTTTGCATTCAAGAGAGGGTTCCAGTGAAATGCCAGTCTAAAAAGGAAACTTGAAAAAAAAAAAAAAACGGATTTGGTTACACTTAGAAAATGTCCCGCTGTTTAGAGCCCACTGCTACTTCTCCTCCACCACCTCGCCTCCTTCTTTGGCCTTGTGGTGAAGTTTGGGGAGGTCTGGGTCTCAAGGGGCACCTTATTCCCCAGCCTGCTTTCTGAGTCCCCTCTGGTACCAGTTATTCTTTGGAAGTCACCTCTTAGCTTCGTTTGAGGGAGTTCACTCCCTCCTCTGTTGCTAAGAACACAGGGAAAGAAAGCACTTAAGAGGCTGACAGACTCCTCTACTTACCGGCAAGTGGCCGAGATCTGTGACTTCCTTATCTCTCCAGCCCCCAGGTCCCGCCATGACTTCAAGAAAGGGAGCTGAGCGCAGCAACTGAGTCGGGCGCGCTCCCGGAGTCTGAGGTGGAATCAAACAAGAAGTTGAAGTCTGGAGAGGGAAAGTGGGAGAGCGGGAGAAAATAGTGGGGATCGGTTTGTGGCTTGGGAGATAGAGGGGAGGAAAGTGGAGGGGAAAAGAGCTAGGAGTGGAGGGAGCAGGAGTTTGAGGGGCGGGAACGGGGAAAGCGAGTTTGCCTAAGGCGAGAGAAGAGTTTGAAAGTCAGTCCCGGAGACACAGAAGCTAAAAGGGTGCTCGAAGGCGAGACCGCAGTGTCTGTCCTGGCTGGATGCACCTCTTTGAGAGTGAGGAGTGGGGCGGTGCAAGAAGGGGCCCAGGAGCAACTGGAACGGGATTGGTGCAGCGTCACTTGGCCAGGTGGGAAGCTGCGAAGCAGGGAGGCAGTCTAGGAATCCACTGGCCAAGGAAGGTGTTGAAGGACTACAAGGGTATGCGAGTTGGCACTGGCTTTTCCAAGCCTTCACCCCGCCCCCGCCCACTAGCCCCCTTCATCCCGCCCCCTTCCAGGTCCACGGCTGCTCCCGACGCCCCCGCCCCCGCTGACAAGCGTTCCACAGGAAACTTTTTCTAGGCAGCTGCTAGTCCCAGAAAACCAGTCCTGTTCTGCACCGCTACCACCAGTATTGGCCCCACATTTGTGCTGCAGTTCAAACAGCCCAGCACACGCCCTCGTTGTCCCCTGGAAACTTTTCTAGTTGTCCATTTTCTCTTTCTGCTCCTTTGATTTTATTGCTCAATTTATTGCAAAACCCCATTGAGTTACAAAAGGAAATGACTTCCCACCGTATTAGGGATCAGACCTAGGCAAACTCTGGGGCAAAAGAAGGAGTACAGCCCTAAGGCTATCACAGCTCAGCCTTTGAAGTCAGCAGCCATGAGCAGAACAGCACAGGACAGAAACCTTTTGAATTGCCCTGCAGGCAGGTGGCATCTCTTTGCCACAGGGCCAATAGCTGGTACCAGTCAGAGGCAGCTCAGTAAGACCGCACCTATGAACAAGTGGTTGAATTTAAGAGACTGGGTGAAGTTTTGCTGTTCTGGTCGCCCACTTTCTAAATTTTACAGAAGCTGCGTTCCCTAACGGTAAAGAAAGTTCCTCCATGCTAGTTAGTCTCCAGTCTTGAGGCCAGGTTTTCACTCATTCGCTCATGCATTGAAAAACATTTTCTGGCACCCCAAGCTAATTCCTTCCATTTTTTCTCAAAGCTAACAGGGGCTGACAACAGAATTTAACAGGGGGGCACATGCGACTTAGCCTCAAAGCGCCCCTTGAAACATAATTGCCAGTATGTGTGCCAAACTAACTGCACTCTAAACTCTTGTACAACAACACTTTTAGAAAATATCTCCGAAGCTGCTTAATTTCCTGAGTTCACAGACTCAGTTCCTAAAGTCCAACGTGGGGAGTGCAATGCAGTGTGAAAGCTTTGCTTCCATTTCTTTTGAAATAGAAAAAATGTTTTATGTCCTCTAAAAAAAATTGTATGAACAAAAACAGTTCTTTCCACTGTCTTGGAGTTCACCATTTCTAACCCACTCTGGCAATTCTGTAATTATCATCCTTATATATTTGTAGGTTTTATTAATTTCACTTCAGTTTCAATGCCTTAGTGACCTCTTTATATTCCTTAACTTCTTAGACTCTGGTGAGCTTTCTAATACCCACAGGTTACCTGAGGAACCACAGTTACCCTAAATAATGAAAATTAAGGACTGTGGGGAAAAACAACTACAACCTCTCTTCAAAAACAAACCTGGGTGCTCAGGATTGAATGTGCTCCTTAACTCAATATGATGTATCACATTTATAGAAATTATAGAAATCACATTTTCCAAGAATTCAAAGCTTGACAACTCCAACAAACAAAGTCTTATGCATAATATTTTAAGAAGTTAAGGATGATCAATAAAACTCTTCTGGAACTTCCTAAACATGAGTTTGAAACTTTACATTTCATAACTAGAAAAGGGCAACAAGTGAGCTCATTAGTAAGCTACAATTTCAGATATACAGCTAGGTGTCAGAAACCAAATCACAGAGTGAATTCTTTGGTAAAGAGAAGCCATGTTCATAACTTACTTTTTAAAAAATATGGTTTGCTAAATGTAGGGTATGGGGAAATGCCATGTGGCCCCCCTGACAGACTGTTTTAGTCTATCTGAAGAGGCAAGTCAGACCAAGTGAAAGACTCAAGGGTAGATCATTGAGCTCTCTAGTTGCAAGGCTTGGTGGGAACCTAACAGCTTCCTGACTCCACAAGGATTAATTACATTGCCAGGTGGGACCCTCCCCAGCAACCCAGGGTTGGGCAAGGAGGATGTTAAGTGTTTGACCAGAAGTTTACAGAGAACTAATAAAATATTTTTAAGTTATTGTTTTCAAGGAAAAAGGAAGCACGGAAGACCATGGAAACTTTGCTTCAAGCTGGCATTACTGGGAATTTTGTGCCTGGTTTGGGAAGATCAGTAGGGTTAGCCAACTAGAAGACAAAAAGATGACATCCAAACATGAGATCCAGCTTTGAGCACAACCTTGAAATAATGCTTTTGTTTTCTGTCTTTGGGACTTCTCTTCCCCTCACCCCAAGACCAGCATTTCTCTTTCCCCTTCGGACATGTTTGTTTTTTCTCTTACTTTTCTGACCTCAAACTCTACAAACATAATCATACTCTTCCCAGGGTCCAGGAATTTATAAGGTTGTTTTTCACCCAGAAATAGTCTCTCTGCCAACATTTAATGTCCCAGATGTACTCCATCTCCTTCTGCTCCAATCTGTCCTGTTATCTGAAGGTCCTGAGCCCTTCATAATCTCTGATTACTGGTATTTTAAATAGCAAAACAGTATCAAATGCTTACTGTATGTTCAGACTAAGTGTTTGCATCTAAATTCTTTCCAGGTTATTAATTATTGTCCACATTGCTTAAATAAGGAAATTGAGGTACAGTGAGGGAAGTAACTTCCCTAAGGTCTCAGACAGTGATTGGAGGATTCAGGCTTTCAACTCAGGCATTCTGACTCCAGAGCCTACTTGTCAATGACTGTTGAAGGGCTGGTGTGTATTTTGAGACTCTGTGAAGAGATGCCAAATTCAAAAAAGTCTTAGGGTAAGACAGATCAGATGACATTAGGCCCCCGAGCTATCCAGTTCCCTTTCCCCTTTTCAGCCCTCAAGCCCTCCTAACAGAAATAACATGGGCTTTATAAAAAGAAATGGGACCAGTCATTGTCCAATTGTAGCTAGCACAGCCTAAACCAAGATCATCAAGCAGATCACTTCACAGGGAAAAATCATGGTTTTCAATTTTCCAGAAAAAAATGACACTTTGCAATCCTTTAAAAAATTGCCATCTATTGCTATTCCTTCCAGAGAAATTTATTGGCTGGGAACAAACTTTACCCAGTGGGAACTTGAAGTCTGCTGTGTTTGCAAGAGATCATGCATAACAGAGCTCAGATACTAAATGTCATCTTTGCGGCCAGTTATCTAAACTTGTAGGAGTGCTATAAACATGGTATCAAGGGCAAGGATTTGATTCCCGAGGGGGCCAGTTACATATTCTCTGTGTCCTTTCACCCTCGATAATATTTAGCCTCTTGCCCATTAATGTGCGTTTTACTGGAAAAGCAACTTCAAAGTTACCACTTTTATCTTTATAAAAAACAACTGTACATTCATTTTTTTCATGGAATTGACTAATCATGGTAGTCTGGAGAAATTCCTATAAGGACATTTGTATGTCCTGAAAAATACATTTACAAAATTCTTGGCTATTTCTTGTTTATTATTGACATTCTAGATTGGCAATACATATGAATGTACATTTATTTTAAAAATTAGAATCTCATTAAATTTTACAAATATAATATCCTTTTTATTTTCAAGAAATACATTGCAAGAACCTCAGTAGATGCCTATAATCAAGGATAATACTGAACTTTATATAACTATGTTTTGCTTATGGATGCATATCTATAAGAGTTTAATTGATACATCAGGAATTACAACAATAATTTAAAAAATAACAGTGTAAGTTATTTAAAACTTACAAACTTTTATTTCTGGAATTTTCAACCCTAACCCTAACCCTTTTTACCCTGGATCACTGAAATCATAGAGTGAAAAGAACAGAATCAGAAATGAATACTCCACACCAGAAAAGTACATGTATTGGCTTTCTTTTCTCTGATACTTCACGTGTGAAAATGAATAAATGTTTTGCAAACTTATGTTAATGTATTTTTAGTATCTATAGTAGTGGCTCCTCAGTGGAAGTGATGAAATAAATTTACATAGTCATCTTCTTGAAAATGAATCTGTGATTCCAAACACTCCAGGTTCAAATATACCCGTAAGTGGCAGGGACAGTCTACCTGAAAAAGCCTTAAGAACGTCTAGTAGAAAGAAGAAGCTTCCTTAGGAGCTACTGAGTAAAAGCACTTCCTGAGAGTTTCTTTCTTTACGGAGATGATTTCGCAAGGATAGCATTTCTACCAGAGTTTGTACCACCCTTGCTACCACTCCTCATGTTATTTCTTCTGGGGCACTCTTCTATGTACAAAGCAGCAACCCACCTAATGTTTCTCATGCTAAAGGTCATGCAATCTGCCTTCTGACCATAGCTTGCAAAGCTTCTGTTGCTTGTCATGGAATGCTCTTAAGCGCGGCATGATTTGAGTTATGCCTGTTTCTAAAATGAGGCCTTGGAAATCTGATCCTGGATGAACATGGGTCTCCTTACTATTGAAAACTGTAATGTTATTCTAAAAAAAGGACAATTGTTTCATAAAGAGAACTAAAACTAAAAAATTAAAATCAAAAGTCAGATATATTTCTAAAGTTGCTAATGAGGTTTCCTTTTATTTTTATCCTTTTTTCACTTTGGAGCCATACCATACCACATTCAAACCTGAATTCCTAGCTTAGCAATTCTAGGAAACTTATCCACCCTTGTCTGACACAGATGTACACAGAAAATTATTTACTGTGACACTAATGAATCTTAAACTTCACATCACTCACTTGTACTTCAATGGCTTTGGGAGTGGCACTAGTAATTGTGTATTGAAGAGTTTATATTCCATTTTCCTTTGAAGTGAGCTTCTTAAATACAAAAGATTCATGTTCAACAAAACTCTGAGGTGCTGGACGCACAGCATAATAAAAACCAGTAAACGTGAAAATAGTTTGTGTGCCTATGTGTGTGCCTCTGTGTCTGTGTGTGTGTGTATGTGTGTGTGTGTGTGTGTGTGTGTGTGTGTGTGTGTGTGTGACAGACAGACAGACAGAGAGAGAGAGAGGGAGAGAAAGAGAGAGAGAGAGAGATTTTCATAATATCTCTGAGTTACAACTAGTAGTATGGAGCTAGAAAAACAGGTACGTTTAAAAAGTAAAGGCCCCGAAAGGGAAAGG